TTTGGTCTCTCAATTTGCTCAAGACATATATGCATTTTTTTTTTTTTAAGTTGGGTTTGGACAGTCAGGAAACTCAAGCTAAATTTTAAATAAGAAAAAAACCAGAACTGTCATAAAATGTGCCATTGCTTGGCACACAAATAGGATGCCACCATACTTTCATAAGCTAGCACAAATCTAAAAACCTTGGCTCGCCAATGGTCACAGGGAGAGAGCCCTCTTGCATTTGCAAACACTGCCCCCCTGGAGCAAAAGGTAAACACACAAATGCTCCCCTAAGGATCTCTAAGTTAGCTACAGTGCAGAAACGGAAAAGGCACCATGCAATTAGAAACCGAAAGCAATCACTTACTTTTTGCAGCCACTGAGTATAATTTTCCAGCACATGCTCCAGATGTTGAAGTTTCTGGGAAGAGAAATCCGGTTCCACGTGTGGAGCATCTCTCTGCAGAGCGTTTGTGTTGTACTGGTCTGTCGTACTCTCACGACAGTTCCCGTCGTGTTCTGGAAGAATGAAAGTGTAGGCACATTGCCCATACTGAATCCGGTTATATCTTCTCCCACCGTTTTCTGGACTTCGGCGCTGGTTGCTGCACCCTACGTGAGTCAGAATGGCAGCGAGGAAAGCTAAGGAAAAGAAAACTGTCATTGTACTGCCAGCACTCTCTTTCCGTGTCTCTCAGCAAAACTTGTTCCTTTCTTCTGACCTTTAAACTAGTTCTTATTTCAGGTAAAACTGCTTGTTTCTTTGACTTTTTCCCGTTCAAAGAAAGCTTTTGAAGAAGAATCACAGAAAACTAGCCATTTGTTAGCTTTGCTCTAAAATGTTATTTTTTATTTCACTGTAATGATAGTTTCCTTAGTTAAAACTTGAGATATTTATTGCATAGTAGCCGAGATTTATTGTTTCCTCTCTGTGTAACCGTTCAGCGTGGAGCCTGCCTGAGTCAGCTGCGTGTACATATTCTAGACCCTTTCCTCTGCCCTATCTGCTGCAGATCTGCTATTTTCTCCCAGACCTCAGTGAGTTTTATTAAGGTTGCACATCCAAGCCAAGCTGGAAGCAGGCAGCCTTTCACAAGATGACTTGACAGGAATGAGGGTGCCCCTATGCTAAGGATTGCTGATGGCTTAGAGCAGCAGGATCGTCTTACAAATTGGCTAGATGCGCATGACCTCGATCATGTATGGCCCTCCCGACCCTTACGCAGACAATTGTCTGGAGTCTTTAGAAGATTCATGACAAATCAATAAATACGGCAGTCCACCTTAATACACTTTTAGTGTACATGCTGACCTACTAAAATCTAGCAAACTAGCAGTGTGTTTTTAAAGTTACTATTTAATTGAGGAACTCTAAGAAGAAAATAGTGTCCAGTGAAATTATTTTTGATAGTGAATGATAAAACTGTATAATTACTAATTAAAAAAATTTATCCTTGACTCTGGAGACAAAGATATTAAAAACCAGTTTTAGAGATGGTTTTCTTTCATTGTATTCATTCAGACGTTTAGGAGGTAGAGAAAATTATCAGGGAGTGTCAAATTAGCAAAAATACTTCATAACTTGTCACTCAAAGGAATATAGCATGTGTATATTAAGTAGAATAATCTGAGTACCTTCTAAGATATGGATTTTAAATGAAACTGGTTCATTTAAAATGCAGCCCTGTGTATTCTGTGTATAGAAATTGAGCAACTTCCTTACAAAAACAGTGTGGTTACAATTTAAAACAGTGGACTGAGAATTATTAATTCCTGTGGTATATCCTAATCATACATTTCACAAGGACCTCTTTGGTGTTGCTATGGCTGTCTTTACTAGTGGCATAAAAGTTCCATATAAATTCTCCTGTGGCCACATAGAAAAACTATCTGAGAAAAACGCATATAATCAGGTGTACCAATGGGCCAGGAAAAAAGCCCTATGAGAGAAATCTCTGCTATTCTATTAAGAAACAAAAAATTATCACAAGGTGAATTCTCAAATCTAGGGCATAAACATCTGAACAAAGGGATCAGTAAAACACAAAAAACAGGTGATAATTATAGAATTAAGTTTATAGCACTGAGATCTTTACTAAGTGTGTGCAGAAAACATGAATTATGAGCAGGGGCTTTCATCAAGAACTGGGAGGGATTTCAGGGACTGGAGCTTCTCAACTGCACTCATGGTGTGAAAACAGAAGCCACAGATGCTGGCTCTCATGTCCCGGAATGGGGTGGGGAGGGGGGGTGCGGGGGAGGGCAGGGCGGTGGGCGAAGGGCAGTGGAGGTTAGAGATTGGCATGTAGGGAGAAGTTAGAGGAGAGGGCAAAACAAGCTCCAGAAAGAATGTGATTTACTTGGGGGAAATAAATTGTGACGCGGTTTATCAATCCTTTCCACACCAAAAAATAAATTTCTGATCTGACAGATATGGAAGCAAGTAATACCAAACATAGCAAAAAACCTTTGAACCATCTTTGCAGTCTCCTCCTAACATTGCATGTCTCCCTGTTGGCTGATATGTCACTCTCTTGTAATAATAATGACATTTATTAAGAGCTTACTATTCTCTAGGTCTGTGCTGTGTACTCCTTATACACGATCTCATTTAATGATGCGACAAACTTAAGACATGATATTATCTTTAACTCCATTTTATCGATGGGAAAACAGTCACAGAAAGGCTAACTGGAAACAACTCACATAGCTGGTAAGTGGTGATGCCAGTGTGTGAACTCTGGCCGGCTGCTTCCAAGTCTATGCTTGTGACCTGCAAGCCAGTCAGATCTCCCAAACGCTCCAGCTGCACTGATTCACAGTCCTAAAGAAGGTTAACGAATGGTACTTGGAAGAAAAAGAACTGATTAAAAGCCAATTTATGCTACAAATGTGATTTAATCCTTTCTCCGTACCCAAAAGAATAAACAAACAAACAAAAAGTGACAGGTAACCCATATGACCTAGTTTTTAAGGACCTGCAAGGGATGAAGTGGACTGGTCAAGCACAGATTGTCTAAGAGCATTTTCCAACATTGCTTGCTTTGACAATTATCCTCGGAAAGGAGAAAGTCCAAAACCAACACCTATGAGTGCTTCGTTAAGAACTAAATACAGCCAAAAATTGGCAGAAGACACACGGGTGAGCATTGAGGGTTCTATTAAAGTGCTCTTGCATTTTTTAACAGCCAAGATTGTTAAAAATCTGTTCGTGGGTGTGTGCCTACGTATGCTCACTCATGTAAACTTTTCCAATCTGAACACATGAAAAGAAGGAATGCAAAATTCCTGAGGGGAAAGTAGACAACTAAGAAAGGGAAGCCTGAAATACTGGTAAAAAGCGGGGGAAGGGACATAGAAAGAGTGAGAGAAAGAGATAGAAATTTGTTTTTTTTTTCCAGATAAACAAAAACACAAACAAATAAAAAAATACCCATCGCACTGTAAATACTAATGTCAATCTGGAAAAGAAAGTCTTAAGATTAATCTTAAGCAACTGGAAAACACAGGGATGTGCAGAATGAACCCATGTGTTTGGGAGTTCAGCTGAGGAGACACTGGGTGCATTTGAAGATTCTAATGACATGCCAAAAACCATATATTTTCAAGGACTTGAACCTACCAACAGCAATACTGTTATTATTGTTGGTGATTGTTCAAAAATGGTTTAGTTTAGTAGACTTTAGAATTTAGAAAGTAGTATGAAATAGAGGCTGTACCATATTTTTTAAAAAAATTCCTCTACCATACTTCCAAAAACAGTTAAAAAAAAAATGTTCTAAAGAACTACATAATTCTATTCAATTGTATACTTAGGGAGCTAGGTCTTGAAAGCTTTGTATGTTTGTATTTTATTTGCATTATCAGAGCTCCAGAATAAGAGTGTGTGTGCTTTAGGATTCTAATCGCATATTTATAATAACCCTACTAAACGTTAAGTTCATTCAGAAATTTCTAGTGAGATAGGGAACAGCATTCTTGTGGAAACTTAATGGACCCAAATCTATCCTAAAACCCAGTCTCTGTCACTTCCTTTGTGACGCAATCTCCAGGTTCAATAAGTGGCTCTCTCTGATGTATTTCAATAACCTTCTCTTCATATCTCCGTAATGGCATTTCTCACACTGCTTTCTAATTATTTCTTTTTTGGTCTCCCCATTCATCTGTGAGTTCATAAAGTGATCTCCCCTCTTTAATCATAGATTCCTAGCACTCTCTATGCACTTTGGTTGAAAGAATGAAAGAATAAATGAATCAGTGAATGAGCTACTTAGTACCTGATGACTGCGTGACTGGCCACAACTATTATAATATTGGGGTGAGTCTGCCTAGAATTGGGATGAAGCCAAACTTATTCTAAAAAATGAGACAGATAAAAGAACATGGTACAAAATAATGCAAAACATTTTTTTAGCCCTTAACAAATAATTTCCTCATTTAATAGTTATAGCACCCCCATAATTATGTATTGTTAACCTCACTTTGCAGATAAGAAAATTGCAGCACACACAAGTTAGTTGCCTAATATCTTAAGTGAAGTGGCAGAGTAAGAATTTGATCCTCAATCCATTTAACTCTGGGACTCACAATCGTAACCCACTGAGCTCTAGTGCCTCCAACATACCTCAGTATTAAGAAACAGAAAGAAAATAATTCTGAAATTCAGGGAACAGGAAAAACATGACCTCTACAACTAAGACTGCTCTCCTCCTTCTCCTCCTCCCCACAGCCTTCATGGATTCATGTTATAACCTTCTAAAATGAGCTAATAGTGAGCTAGGATACACCAGTATGGTTGTCCCATCTGCTAACCAATATCCAATGACTGTATAGTTATACTTTGGTCCCATTCTGAATGTTTAGTCTTCTAGTGTATTACCTGTTATAGATCTTGGTTATCACCCATGTTCTGAAATAAAATTAGACAATATAAAATAAAATAGAATTTATTTCTCAAAAGTACATCAGGTACTCCCCTGGTATTCATATGACACCCTACAAGGGCAAAAGGGGTGGGAAAGCATTCTCCTTCCTTGCATACTGAACATAATGTCGTTTAGCACATATTCTATAAATATATTCTTAGGGCACCATATTCTATAGCCCTCTCTGGCACTTTTAGGGACCAAGACTATCAGTAGGGCTATGGTCATGGCAGCTATGTGTAAAAAGAAGGGCACTTGGCTGTAATCCCTGGAGACAGAGCCAAGACTCCTTCATTCAACCATGTAGGCAGCAAAGGTGTCTGCAACAGATGGAAATACCACAGAAGGCTAACAGAGAAAAACAGGAAGATAGAGGCCATCACCTGGTGACTGTTGGCAATTTATGAGTACAGGTAAAATATTTGTTGAGAACTCCCAAACCCAGTGGGAAGACTTTACCAAAGAGCTGGAGACAATGCAGTGGGTGTGAGTGAGCAAGATACTATGGTGTATAGAGACATATAAATAATTGAGGAAAATAAAAATCATTTTGTAAACATTCTCCTGCCTTTCGATGAGAGAAATTCCCAGTGATTGGGGGATGTCTCACTTGCTAAGTCAGTGTTTTTTTATTGTAGCTATGCAAGTTGGAAAGAGCTGAGACAGAATTAACTTGTTCTACCTAATAAAGGAGTAGGGGACGATCCGGACATGGAGGACTGAAGCTAGAAAGGTTTAGAGAAAAGTCAAAAGAGACGGGAAACGTGTGCCTGTGTGGCTATAAGAAACTTGGGGAAATATATCAAGTATGGAGGTTTGGCGTGAAATTGTGTTTCCTGTGAGATAAAATCCCTCTTATTTATGTATGTATGTATGTATGTATGTATGTATGTATCTATTTATTTATTTTTTCAGTAAAATAGATGCTTTGAGACAAATGACTTCTTGAGGGTGAATGAGAAGAATTGTTGGTCCTTGCTCCAAACATGGAAACAGCTAACATCTGGGTTACATAGACTGTTAACATGAATGCAATTCTAGTCATTTATTTCACGTGAATCTTTCATACTCGATTAGAGCCTCTTAAGGATGCAGCTCTGTCTTACTGATCACTCTATCCCTTTTCCTGGCACATAGGAGGCAACTGAAATATTTGTGGTCCAGCTGACTGTCTGACTCATTCGCTTCAATTCTTGATGATGAGACTGGAAGATGTAGAAGCATCGCCCTCCCTTGGACATTTTCATGTGCTGATAGTGCCTAGATCCCAAGACTACATTCTAGAGTCACATAAGAAACTCAAGAGTTCAGAGATTCCAAAGCAAATCCCAGGAGTCACAGTAGTATGGTATCTAACACTCCCACCCACCCAGAGACACTGCCACGATTATACAACCAGTCAAGAAACATCTCAGAAATACTTTCCAATGTGAGGTTACTTGTTAATTATATAATATAGATAACTTCCACAAGTACCCAAGCCAAAATAGAACAAACAGCTGGAGACTGTTCCACGTAGAAATACAGATGCCAACATCCTCCTCATACCAGAATGGAGAAAGAGTTCCAATAGAGATCCAGTGACATGGCATTTTATTGCGGGAAAAAGCACATAAACCACTTTGCATTTACTGAGGGTCTCCTCCTCTTCTCTTTTTTTTTTTACAGAAGTCTTGATTTCCAGATTCGAGAAGAATGCAAAGGTCTCTCTGTCTCAACTTTTTCAACTTCAGAAAGAATACGTATTTGAAAGGAATGATTGGAATCACTATTTGATGAATCATGTACCCGATGGCACTTGGACAGTAGCTAATCATTGTAGCCAAAGCTGATAAATGTCCTTGATTAAGGCAGTGATTCAAAGATAGAGGACTTTTTCTGATTTTTGTGTTTGTGATTAGAGAGTTATGACAACTCCTGCTTATCAGAGAGGGAAAAAAAGATCACTCATAACTATTGCAAACTTAAGATGACAATATGGAAATAAAGTCCCCGAATTTTTCTAAAATCTATCACTTTCTTTTTTAGTCTTATTTTCATACTCTCTGTTAATCTAATCTTATTTTCCCTCCTCCAGATTGGATGAACTGTGTCATAGAAATTAAGCTCGGAGACAGATAGCTTTATTTTTGTTTTTGTTCCTTGTTTATGCTATTAAAGAAGATTGGGTTACACTAGACAAAACATTTAATTATTCTAAGCTCAGTTTCTCATCCATAAAATGAGGATGAAGATACAGTGCCACTTTTAAAAGAGGGATGTGAAGATTAAGTAAGATAATGTATAGGAAGTACTAAGCACAATGTCTAGAGCATATCAGGTGCTTTAAATATCAGTTCTTGTTTCCAAATGTGAGTTCCCTTTCTCATACACAAAACTGGTCCTATGTTTATAGTTAAATGTTATGACTATATTTACCTAACTCTATTCGTTATAATTTTTCCTCTTAATTGTTTAAAATCCCTTCTGAATCTCTTAAAAATCACAATATTTAAGAAGTACATTTTAATATGGAGGGTGACCATGTTCACCGTGATAATTCATATAAACAGCTCTGGTTTCTTTGAGGGCAGGGACTTCAATGTTCTTCCTCATTGCTACATCCCCAGTACCGAGAACAGGGAGTGTCTGACTCATAATAGGTGCTCAATGAATAATATATTAAATGAATAAAACAAATAGGAAACAATTTAGTAAGAATATACTACTCCATAGAGACGTTTAGTAGGGCAGACAGACATATAAACTAATCATGTTTGGTAGCATGATAAGAATTTTATTCCCTGGAAATCATGGGAGCAACATGGATGCCATTTATGGCTTGTTACCATGACTTGTTATCTGACTCATTTCCAGCCAATTCAACTAGATGACCTTATTTCAAGAGCTACTTTTTTGACTAGACTTGTGGCATATACCACTCATTCTGTTTCCTGGTATGGGGAGATAGGGTAGCAAGTGTTTGCTTCTGATAAAATGAAAAAGAATTGAAGCACTCTACTATTAATCTTATAAGAAATATACGGCTTGACATAAATTGTACATAAGCAAAGGAAGCCTTATTTTATCTATTTTTTCTCCAAAACTAATTTTGTTTCCCCTAAGGCTCTAACCAGATTAGCAATTTGGCAAATAAATCAGAAAATAAATTTTACTGGTATATAAAACATAAAAATATAATGGTTTAACCAGGCTTAGTTCATAAATTGACAGGCAAAGACCAGTTCTTTTAATGATAACCTTAAATGAAATACCCATCAAGTCTGAAAAGTTTACAATTTTTTTCAGCAAATATTTATCTTGATTCTTTCCTCTTTCTCTTTGTCTTATAATTAGCAAGAATCTTTAAAGGGGAGAATTGTGACAAATGAAGAAAGACTAGGACAGAAGACAAACATAAAAGACTAAAAAAAAAAAAAATGAAAAAGATTGTCATAGCTATTTAATTCTTTATAGTTAAATGTTCCTTCTATTTGTGATATATACAGATGGATCATTTTTAGCTCCAGAGATACCTGCATATTTTGCAAATATTTCCCAAATGTGGGTCACATTCACTTTCACTCTATTTACCAAACTATGTACATGGCTCTTGTACTATCGTTTACCTAATAGTTTCCTTAACTCAAATTTTAAGCTTTCTACATATTTCAGATTTACCTTACACAAGAGTATCTGGAAAACCAATTACTTGTGCTTTTTCCTAACGTACATTAAAATAAATGCAGAATAGTAAGATAAGTATCTCTCCACATACCACCCACCAAATATTTCATGTTCCCAGTGCAATGTGTACCACACTTTGGGAAAATGACTTAATGCTATCAACAGCAGAGTCATCCATCTTGCAAAATGAATGAAACAATACTTCCTGTCAACATATCTGTGGAAAGGACTGTTGGAGCTTCAGTCCCTCAAGATCAGTTTACATCATGTCCAGAGTGTTTAGGGATTGTTTCCACTCTGTAGTCGAATCAGAAATACAAAAAAAAAAAAAAAATTGAAATAGAGGCTGCTGCTGCCAGTGAGCACCTGAAGGAATTCCCTACATCCCAACTAGGGAAAGCAGGGTGGGGGGTGGCAGCAGCCCTTCCCGTAATGCTGTCCACTGACAGAAATGCCCAACTGAAGGTCTGAAATTGAAACTAATAATTGACCAGGAATTTCAACAGCTCTTCTCTCAAATCTGGCAATGGAAAGAATAGTGAAGTTATTTAGTTTCTGAAGAGTAAATCTTCACTCCTTTTTAGTCCAGCATTTGGAAGAATGTTAGGGAAATAGTAAACAAATTTCTTCTCAAGAGTTGCATTCCCCTTGGAGAATTTACATTCCTTCCTGACATCCCTCAAATAGCCATAAAAACACATCAGTTCAAAAAAGGGAGGAAGGAGAGTTAATATTTAAAGGAAAAGTTAGGAATCAATTACTCTCAGTTTAATAATAGCTAACATTTATTAAGTACTTGTGATATATTCAGGACTGTGCTAATAGCCGTACCTGCATTATTTGTCCCGTTACAATCACAATAACCCGATATGTAGGAACTTTTATTGCCATTATTTTACAGAGAAAAAACAAACTTAGAGAAGTTTCAGGCAGGACGCAAGCCCAGAGAGTTCTGATCCCAGAGTTGAAGCTTTTAATCATTATATATACAGAAAGACTCAGTCAGTCCTTTGAAAGCACGTAGTCATTTAGATTCTCAAATTATCTTCCTGATTTTAGCATCTATTTCTGTATTTGTTAAACCAAAAAGAAACACAGAACTTGATACTCAATTATACCAAAGGAAATTGTAACAGTTGAAAATGACAGCTATCAAGAAAAGTTAACAATTATAGTATATTTATTGTATGTCGATCACTTTACATACATTATCAAATCAAACCTTTAAAACAATAATATCATACCTATTTCAGAAATGAAGAAACTGAAAGTAAGGCACTTATCAAGATTATATAATGAAGTGGCATTTTAAACAAGCTACATCTGACTTTAAGATCTGATCATCTTGACTAATATGCGAAAGAAAATTCTCTAAAATAAATGAAAAAAAAAAAAAACAACACTTTCAAGGTATTTATATGGAGGACTTTAGCCAGCCATATCCTCATCTTCACTGTGTGAGAAGGGTAGAGGTAAAGATTATGAAGAGCCTTGGTGGCCAGTGTAACTGTTGGTTTTTAGTCTGAGATGGAAAGTGATTACAAATTTTTGAACAGAGGAATATGTTCTGTCTTGTAGCTTAAAAGGACAGTTGCTTTGTAGATGAGCAAGGACAAAAACCTAGAGTCAAGTGAAGAAGCTCTTTCAATGACCCAGCTGATGGTGGCTTCAATGAAGGCAGTGGCTGTGGAGATGAGAAGTGATCAGGTAAATATTTTGAAGGTGAGACCAAAACTATTTCCTGACAGCTTGTCCATCAGGTGGGAGAGATATCTCAAGGTTTTGAACTAAGGTAATAGAAAGTTGAATTTTGTTAACTGATATGGAGATGATTGTGAACAGATAGAGAAAAAAGAGAGTATAGGAGCTTAGTTTCAGACATGTAAAATTTGAGATACTTATTGAAGAGGCAGCTAGGAAGCAGTTGGATATATAACTCTAGAGTTAGGGAAATAGTCAAAAATGGAGATATAATTCTGGATAGCATCAGGGAGTGTTTAGATAGTATTGGAAGCCATGACAGTAGAGCCGATCATGAAGGGAGTAAGGATACACAGAGAAGAAAAAAGATCTAGGAATTGGATTCTGAGTGTTAAGATTAGGAATATGAAAAGGATTAAGCAAAGGAACCTAGAGAGAAGTAGTAAGTGAGATAGAAAACAAAACAAAAACAACAAAAAAACAGAACAGTGTCCTGGAAACTATGTTGCAAGAAGGAGGGTGATCGACTATGACAAATGTAGCTTTTATATCAAGTAATATGAGGACTGGGCTTCTAGTGAAGATGGCAGAGTAGATAAACACTGTTCCCTTTTCCTTCCATGACCACATCAATATTACAACTGAATTATAGAATGATCACCCTTCAGAGCTGCCTGAAGACCAGCTGAACAGAACTCCCATAACTAAGGACATAAAAAAGAAGCCATATCGAGACTGGTAAGTGGGGCAAAAATGCTAAATGGGCTGGTCCCACACCCACATGTGGTGGTTAAAAATGGGAAGGATCTCAGCTGCAGATGTCCCCACTTAGGGGTGAGGGGTCCCAGTCAAACACCGTGGTCCCCAGCCCAAAGCACCAGGTATGATGGGAAGAACGGTCATCACAACAGCTGGCTATGAAAATCAACAGGGATTCAGTCCAGATGAGACAAAGAGCTGTTGCAGACCCAGGCATCCTCTTAAAGGGCCTGAACACAGGCTTACTTTCTTACAAACACTTGCTCTAAGCTCCAGTAAAGGAAGAATAGTTCAAACAGCCCCAGAGACATAGGAGGAGGAACTGAATTGTCTGGCTTCAAGGAAAGGGCTTGAGGGGCAGTTCTCTCTGGACTAAAGTGCAGGCAGGCGCCATCGTTCCTTTGTTGAGCCCTCTCCTACACAGCCTGCAGGCGCAGACAAGCACCAGGTTTGAGAATCCATCAAACTTGCTAACACTGCTCTTTGTCCATCTTGATGACATTTTGAGACTCTGCCACACCCAATTCATATGCCTTGCCCGAACCTCTTTAAGAGGCTAATCCATACAAGTGGCCAGCCTGGGCCTATACTATGGACCTTCCTAAAATCTCTCAAAGGTCCACAAACCACAAATAAGCAGCAGCTGGCCCCGATGCTACCAGTACCTCATGCTAAGCAGCCCTAAGCCTGGCACTAGTGGCAGCTGGCCTTGGTTCACAGCATAACCATTCACAGGTACCTCTAAGCCCCGCACAGACAGCTACCAACCACAGATCACTCTATAGCTCCTAAGAGGCAATGTCTGACCTTAGCCAATACCAGAGCCCCTACCAAGACCCAAAACCAACACACTCGGTGGCTGGCTTCTGACTACACCAGAGCAGCACCCAGTTAGCCACAAATGACACACTCAAAGGGTGGCAGGCACCAGAACCTTACTAAAGAAAATCCCTGTCTGTGGGGATTGTCCACTGTAGTCATGTCCAGTCCTTGCAGTCAGGTGAGCTGAGGGTCAATCCCAGCCACTGACGTGCCAATAGTAATCAAGGCTAAACTACAACAGGAGGACACACACAACCCATACAAGGGACACCCTTGGAGCATCCAGCTCAGGAGAACGGGGAGTCTGCACCACTGGGCCCCACATGACACCTACTACATAAGGCCACTCTACTAAGGCTGGGCACCATAGCAGCTCTACCTAATACATAGAAACAAACAGAAGGAAGCAGCCATATGAGGAGACAAAGAAACATGTCCCAAATGAAAGAACAGTATAAAACTCCAGAAGGGAATGGCATAAAATATTCAAAGTGATGGAAAGCAAAGACCTACCACTGAGACTATACCCAGCAAGGCTATTGTTTAGAATAGAAAGAGAGATAAAGAGCTTCCCAGACAAGAAAAAGCCGAAGGAATGCATCACCACCAAACCAGTATTACAAGAAATGTTAAAGGAACCTCTTTAAGAAGAAAAAGTAAAAACTTAAAAATACGAATAAGACAGTATCTCAAAGAAAAAAATTCTTACCAACAAAGGTAAACACATAGTAAAAGCAGTTTAGTGAACACTAAAGCTAATACAAAGGTTAAAAAGCAAAAGTGGAAAGATCATGTGAAATTATAATAATAAATTAAGGGATGCACACAAACACACACACAAAAGAAGTAAAAAATAATGACAAAACATAAACATGGAGAGGGTGAATAAAAATGTTAGTGATTAGAATGTGCTCGAACTTAAGTGACCATCAACTTAAATTAGACTGCTGTAAACATAGCTTAGTATATATGAAGCCTATGGTAACCACAACCAAAAAATCTAGAACAGATACAAGAAACAGAAAGGAATCCAAATATGATACTACAGAAAATTATCAACAAATGAGAAGAGAGCAAAAGAACAGAGGAACAGAGAACTATAAAAGCAATCGGAAAGCCATTAATTAAATGGCAATAACTACATATCTATTAATAATTGCTTTCACAAAAATGGATTAAATGTTCCAATCTTAAAGACAAATGAGTAAAAAAAAAAAAAAAGGTGGTACATATATACAATGGAAATATTATTCAGCCATTAAAAAGAATGAAATCTTTACCATTTGTGACAACATGGATGGAACCAGAGAGTATTATGCTAAGCGAACTAAGTCAGACAGAGAAAGACAAATGCCATATGATTTCACTTATATGTAGAATCTAGAAAACAAAATAAATGAACAAAAAAGAAACAAACACATAGATACAGAGAACATTTCAATGGTTGCCAGATAGGAGGGGGTTTAGGGAGCTGGGTGAAAAAAGTGAAGGGATTAAGAAGTACAAATTGGCAGTTGCAAAATAGTCATGGGGATGTAAAGTACGGCATAGGGAAAATAGGCAGTCATATTGTACTCGAAGAAATACTGGTGCCAGAAAATAAGTCTAATGTAGACATATGACTGCAATATAACCCTTTTACTTAGCTTGATAAGATTTTTGAAGTGAGTTACTTTTCTTTTTTATGGCAAAAACCTTGACGTTTCCTGTTAAAAGGGGGCAGTGACTTGCAGCAGGAGATTTATGTTTAAAGAGGTATGTATGTTCTTCGTTTCACTTTATTTCCCTTTAAGTATTGTGGGTTTTTCCTGCTTTGACCATTTGTAGGAGAAGACCTCCAGAGTGGTACAAAATGACTTGGCAACATCTTTAGAAATGAAAGAAAAACCTGTTGTTTGGGGATTTTCTAGCAATAATATCTAGAGAATTATTTTTCTTCTGGACTTATACATGGCTTTCTCTAAAATTATTTCCTTTATATGAAGACAATCACATCTACTTTTCAATCCTTTCAATCAAATGTAGCATAAAAAGCTATTGATGAGTAAGTCAAAGATTATTTTACCTGGAGAAGCATGATGAAAGGGAAACATAATCAAACTTGGCATTTTAGAAAATCTGATTTAAAAAAAAATTTCCAAATACCTAGACAAATTTACTATATGACCAGAATGACATCTCAAATCAGTGGGCAAAGGAATATTTTTTGGTGGGGGGAAGGGGGCAGGGAGTGGTTTAAATAAATGGTGTTAAAACAATTGGGTGTCCATCTGGTAAAAGATAAAGTTTGCTTCACACTTCACACTGTGCACTAAGATAAATTCCATGACAATTTAAGTTTTACATTAAAAAAATAAATTATTAAAAGAAAACATATCCTTAGGTCAAGAAAGCTTTTCTAACTTAAAATCTGGAATCCATTTTATAAATGTAAACATTTGATCATTTTGGCTACCAAAAAATATAAAATATCTCAATATCAAATTAAAAAGAAACAATGAACAAAACCAAAAGACAAATCACAGAGAAAAAGTTAATTGAATTCACAGCATATAAGAAAAATACAAATTTAACTACATCAAGCAATGTCTAAACAATTATATTGGCAAAAATTCAAAAGTTAGACAATCCCAATTTGTTAGTAAGTTTATGGGGAAACTGATGATCTTATACATTACAGGTGAAAAATAGTACAATTATAAATGCATTTATCTTTTGACCCAGAATTTTGCTTTGGGGAATTATACTACAGAAGGATATGAATGACATATATTCAATTATTTACTAAAATATTGCTTGTAACAACAACAAAAAACAGTTGTATCTTTTGAATCATATGACTGTATAAACTATCCAAACCAAAAAGAAATTTAAAAAATAATAACAAAGAAAAACTAGAGTCGAATTCTGATTCACTTTAAGACTAATCTTGAATAGTAACTTAACCATCCTGAGCTTAATTTCTTAATCTATGAAACTGAAAAACAAACAAACCTTACTTATCTCATATTTTTTTCTTTATAATAAATGATATAAAACACGTGAAAGTGTTTTTGAACTGTGGAGCGGCATGAAAGGAAGACATATCTTTTGTTTTCTTAAAAGAACTTGCTGGGAAACATACAAAGTAAGGCAGAATCTAATGAGGTAAGTATATGAACAGAGAAACCTCTAATATTCAGTTTAATTTCTTTATTCATTCTCAATTTTCATTAATTCTTTATTCACTCTTTTCAAATTCCGCTTTACTCATAAAAGTTTTTCTCCAAGCCTGGAAAGACAGCCCCTCCAAATTCTCCTCTCTGGGTGTCCCTCAGCTGCCACCCCTCTCCTGGCAAGCGAGTGGTGTGGGGACACCTCTGGGCTCCTGTCCTGCAGCTACCCAGAGAATCCACTGTTACCCACTGTAGCACCATATTCTTATTTCTGTCTACTTTTATTCTTTTTTCTTTTTACTCTTTTTTCTACTATCTTTGCCACCTCTGCTGTCCGCTCCTCCACCATATCCGCTACTTCCCGGCTCCCACCTCTAAGGAAGGCTGCCAGGTGCAGGCTCCAAGAATGAGGCATGGGGATAGCTCCTCGGATTTGCCCCCAACACACTGCAGCTTCCCATGCTTCCACTGGCCCCGCCGTGTAGAGTGGGAATTAGTCCAAAGAAGCTAGGACTGGTAGGGCCCAGGTGCCCTTGTGATTATGTCTTGCCATAGCCTGAACACTGTGATTTTTTAAATTCACATCTCCTGTACTTGTTCCCATAGGGAATTGCACTTCCCATGAGAAAGCAACTTGTATCATCCCCTCTCCTTTATCTTAGGTTAGCAGTGAGGGGGTTGGCATTCTGTCTCATCATCCACCCCGACCCAACTCCCTCCCGGTCCTTCCACCTGCGAGCCATCTGATTTCCCAGAAGATGGATCCATTATCTCCCTATTCTCTTTCCCCAGGTTTCACCAGCTTGTGGGGTTTTCTCAGACGTACCTCTTTATTCTGGCTAGTTTTTCATCTTAAAAGAATGATTCTGGAGAAGTTACAAACACCGAAGACCTTTCCTGAGATCACTGTTGTGCAAGATCACAATTCCAGAACAGTAATCCCCTGCCTTGCTGATGACTGGCAGATTTCCCAAAAGACACAACCCCAAATTTACCAAAATTCCCTCTAAAAACATTTTTTAATTAATTCATTTTAAGTATGACTGTCATATGACACTCCGAGACTGATTATAAGAAAAGTGACAATGTTCCTCAAGTCCCAGAAGATACACTATTATGTAACCTGCCCAGTTATGGGGTCAGTCAGAAGACAGCAAAAATGTTCATACATTTTTTTAAAAAATCAAACCAAGAAAATAAAGTTTTTAACATCGAAATTATTTGAGTCAATCTCTAAAAGGAAAGATCATAAAAATCATAAGATAAACACATTTTAAACAGAATTTAAAGAAACGTGTACTTTTTTTTTTTTTTGGTGAATCTTGTATTCAAAAGAGGAAAAACAGACCTTACCAGACTGCATAGGCTCCGGAAGGATAAAGCACACATCTCAAACACCAAGGAACATGCTGTATAAGGGTGCCGTGCTCAGTAATACTTGAGCATTTGGAAATGCATAGCCATCTGCTGAATTATTTTTGCTCTTCTTGAGTTCAGTTTGGTAGATATGTCTGTTTCTCATGCACACCCAAAGTCCCCACTAAGAACTGAGACCAGAGAATTACTGTGGTTTCACTACAAAGTTTCAATGACTTTCATAGAACATTTCTAGATTACGTTGGAAATTGTTATAAACACTTCCTGATGCCTCTGTCATCCACTCGACTGAAAAAATATCTTTTCTTTCTGATCTTTAGCTATTGCTGAAGTGTTACCTATCTGTCCGTGTACTTCCTGGATGCCATGTCCTGTAACCTTGTGCCGTGACCTCGGCATGACAGCTGTTCCAATGGTTTTGGCTGAGGCTGTCGCATTTACTCACCAAAAGAAACATACTATTTGGCTCCTTGCTTACTGTATGTCTGCTGCTCCTGGCTGCGGACCTCCTGACAGGTTGCTCTGTCAATTTTACTAGGTAAAAGGTCCTGAGAGAGGCTTGTTTTACATAGATGGACTGCATTATGTTACTGACATCTGCTACGCAAGAGAACAAATATTGCTGCCCTAAACCTTCAAACTTCATGCATATAACAATTAAATGGGTCCATTTTCCACAAATAGCCATGGCACAGTGAAGAGAATTAAATTCATGCAATCATAGGTGAATTAGAAACCCAAAATACAGGTTAGGGCCCATTGTACAATTAGTCTGAGATTCAGATAGTTTTTAAATAAAAAATAAAATATTCTAAAATAGTATTTAGAATATTATTTATTGGAGTCTAAAAAAAAAGAGGCTTGAAAAACATGCAATTAATTTTAAACAAGAGAAAGTTTAAAAGGTCATAAAATACTAGCACTGAATGATTTAAATAAATCCTTTTATCTTGCAGATAAGAAAACTATAGCTCAAAGATTTGCCCCAGGTTATAATGGCTTTCCACCATAGAAAAGCCAATAGTGGTTGACACATCCCCACTATATTTTCACTGTACTTTCGTAATTTATTTCCTGAAAAACAACCTCCAATGTAGGATTTCAGCATCCAAGCACCAAAACCAAATTTTATTTTTTACTTTTAATCTTTACCTCTCAAGTATACTCAGGAGAAACTTTTCTCCCTTCCCTTCCCATTCTTACCTGATTTCATTTAAAAAAATACCTTCCAATCCCATGGTAGGGTTATTGGATATATATAAGGGAGTTGGAGAGCTTCAGGATAAATTTCTACATGGTAAATCAAATAAAACATGACTATAAATAATTACGGCCATAAAAACCAGCTTACTTGCTCCTGGCCTAAGAGGAATCAGAGCAGTGAAAAGAAATTAGCCAGAAGATCGGTATGGTGCTAGACAAGGGAGAAAGACAACATGACCTGTTATTCTATTTGAGGACCTCTATATCTGGGAGGTGTGTGGGGGGGGGCAGTCTGATGGGGAGGATGGTGATTATTTTCGGCCACCAGTACTATGCTTGTAATTTCTCACCTGAATGACTTGATGTCTGTTAAAAGACAAGGAATTCATGTTCTCTGCCTGAGGTCCCGGAGACCTGGGTTCAAATCCCTGTTCTGACATTTAGCTGCTGTGTGCTTTGGAAAAGGCTCCTAATTGCTTCCAACTTGTGTTTCTTCCTCAGTGACAGGGAAGTAATCATGTCTGCCTCCCAGGGATCATGGTGAGGTTGAAATGAGATAGCGCGAGCAGAAAGCTTGATATTCACAGAGGCCTAATTAGTGCAGTTTTCCTTTGTTTTTATAAAGTAAGACTATTAATAAATAGGAAGAAAAATGCAAACAGTACAGCAAATCAGATTGTTGTTTTTGTTTCTTTGCAGACTAGTGATGTTTAGAATCTCTTTCAAAGAATACTATGAATTCTTCCAAACTCCAAGTGGAATTCTTCCTAATACCACTTGAAAGTTCACTGGGTTTGAGAAACTCTATCTGGCGATGCCATGTTTGAGACAAGAGCCTGGCGAAACGTTTTTTGGCCTGGTTCACTTTTGACCCCCTGAGATTTATTTTTTCCTGTCCCTCTTCTCTTTTCTCTCTGTTTTCCTTCTTCCTGGCACTGCCCCTAACAAGCCCATGAGAAAACTCCAGTTTTTCTTTTTACCACTGCTTGCCCTTCTGCAACAGGTTTAGTGAGAACTGAGGGGGGTGAGGCGGAAATGGAGGAGAGAATAGAATCCACACACACATCCACTCCTCCCAGTCCCAAAGAGTGCCCTTCCAAACCTCTGTTGTGACCCTCCCTTCCTTTCTGGTTCAGTTTGTTCATCTGTTCAGGGCAAGGGTGAAAGGTCACTGGGCGGAGCCCCACTAATTGCACTAGGAAATCTCCCAGTAATGCAGGGACAACGGACAACGGGGAAAACCAAGAAAGAAAAAAATAGAAGTACGAAGGAGAAACTGCTGCCAAAAATTGTTATTGAATCCCTTTGGATTTATTTAGAACATATTGCTCTGCATATAAATATAAAACCAAACAGATCTCTAAGCCAGCCTGTTTCGACCAATTTGACATTTCACTGGAAACTAAAGTTGTGTCTCTGTGATGCCAAAATATCTGGATGAAAAGTGAAAAACTGTGTCAATAAACAAATATCTGTTAAGCCTATTACCCAAGTATAGCCCAGTGCTCAGGCTGAGAGGATAACAGACGTAAGACAACAGGACCTTCCTCTTCAAGGAGCTTACAATGGCAGCAGACTCTAATAATAGCATCCTGGCTAAAATATCACTCCACCACCACACACGCTGATCACTCTCCTATCATTTTATTTATCTCCTGTTATTAATTTATCTTCTATTATCTTTCTTTATAGCCTTCGTAAACTATATCTGGATCTAATCTATCTTTCCATTCATCTGGCAGTCTATCCATCGATTTATATCTCTATGTATCTGTCATCTATCTATCTACCTAAATACCTACCTTAAAAAAGATTATTTTCTTCATCAATTTCTCCTTCTAGAATGTAAGCTCCATGAGAAAGGGGGTGCGGTTTTATTCACTGCTATAATCCTGGTCCAAGAATTGAATCTGACACAGTTGACACTCAATGAATATTTTTTGAATGAACTGATGATATAGAGCAACAAGATAAGTCAGGAAAATCTTCATGGAGGAAGGACATCTTCAGCTGAACCATGATGGACAGACAGAATTTGAATAGATAAAAAGAAGAGAACATTCCAGATACGGACATAGCATGACTTAAGATGACAAGGCTGGAACAGCATAGCATACAAAATGTGGGGCAAATAGTCTCACCCTCTCTAAAGGAATATGTAAGACGCCGATGTCCGGCTGCCTGGATTTAGACAGATAAAATATTAGAATTACAGTATTTAATCAATTCATAGATACTAATGTCATTCAAATATGGTTTCCAAGTGTTTGTCTTGTCTTTGTAGAAGCTTGCATCCCAGGATCTTCATTCCAGGAATGGATCCTCACTGTTTAACAGGATAATTGAAACTCAAACTTTATGGAGTTTACCAAAGGAATAGCTGCTGCTGATACCTAGCTTGTCCTCTGATTTCCTTCCCCTTTGGTCTGTGATCTCTTATTATTATTATTATTATTTATGCCTACAGCACCTGGTCTTCTTAGGTGGTCTCCCATCCATGTACTAACCAGGCCTGCCCTGCTTAGCTTCCAAGATCAGACATCAAGCTTGTTCAGGGTGGCATGGCCATAGATCATGGACCGTGGCTCCACTGGGGCACGAACCTAGGACCTTCTGCATGTAAAGCAGACGTGCTAATCGCTACACTATGAAACCACATCCCTGTGATTTCTTTTAATTTTCCAGCTTTATGACCATTTGCAATGGTATTCAATATACACGCCTTTCTTACTTTTCACTAAAACCTATATAATGTTTGTATGTGACAACATGGCTAAACCTTGAGGACACTACTCTTAAGTAAAATAAGCTGTCATAGAAGAACAATTACTGCATGATTCTATGTAAATGAGGCGTCTAAAATAGTCTAACTAATAAAATCAGAGACTAGGTGGTTGCCAGAGGCTGGGGGGAGAGAGAAATGGTACGTTTCTAAATAACAGGAATAAAGTCTTAATTATGCAAGGTGGATAAGATTTGCTGTACAACATTGTCCCTATAACAAACAATACTGTATTGTACACTTAAAAATTTGTTGCTAAGGTTAAGTCTCATATTAAATGTTCTTATCACAATAAAATAACCTTAAAAAATTAAAATAAAAATAATTAAATAAACAATCCCTAGGGCTAGGAACCCTATCTTCTGCTTGTTCTATAAGCCACACAGCCCCTCCACCACCACCCCCACACGAGACCACACACTCATTCTTCAGTGATGACCCAAGATCCTGGGCACGGGTCTTGGCCCAGCAGAAGCTACATAAGAGAGAGTTGACTCTGAAGATAAACTGCTCATTTCTAAAGAAACCCATAAATTTATTAAAGAGTCCAAAATTAGAATCCAAGAATCATAGTCATTTATTATTTAAGCAAGAGATTTCAAAAATAAAAAAGTTATTTCCATCTTTAAACATGTTGGCTGCTATTAGTTCTATGTGCGTAATGGGTCCAGCTATGTACGGCCATCACTATTATAGGGAGTAAGGTCTGCGTTTAGTTAGAGCAGTATTAAAAATACGTATTGCAATGGATGACATGGGTAACAGTAGACTGTGGATAGAAATAAAAAAGTTCAGTTAATCCTGACCTTAGACCATTTAAGCACATTACAGCTTCCCAGCTGAAACATGACGGACAGTCATTTTTATATAAATAAATATGTGTCTGACAATATAAGTTATCATCCTGGTGAAAATATGGTGGCATTCTCTAGCCCTTCATTTCTCTTTTATGAGCTTCCCTTTTTTCTGCTTTCTCTTAATTCAGGTTCGTCTTTGTCCTGAATTCGTCTCATGTTGTACAGTGTTCCTGGTAGCTCTAGATCAATTTGCCTATAAACAATTCGCCAGTGTATAATTTAGCCAAAAGGCAATTTTCTAAATGGCTAATTTACTGAAAGCAATTCCTCGAAAGGAATGGCTTTTTGCAAATTGCTTTTTGGTGAAATGGTCCATGTTCCTCCCTGGACCTTATCTACTCACAGGAACTGAACTACCACTGTATAATCATGTCTCCCACATCCATATCACTTACATATTCAACTTGTATATTCCTTTGACATGTTAAAATTTATATGTCTAAAAGTCTCCTTCTCAATTCTCTTAGTTCCAAATTGTTCCTCCAGTATTTCTGATTTCAACAAAAAGCACCACTTGTCACTCACTTTCCCAAGTCATTATAGATTCACTTATCCTCTCCTTGCTCACTCTTGCTGATTTTAACCTCCTAATTAAGTAGGAGAATGAAATCATCCGATCTGTGTTTCCCATAGATTTCTAAATGCTTCTCGATCAATCATTTTCTTTCATCATTGTTGTCTACTGATGAAGTTAGGGTCTGCCCATCTCTCTCTAGGCCATTCTATAACTATAACAATATCATATTTAATCTGCCTTGATCTAATTTTTCCTCTTCACATTCCTTCTTTAGTTTTCTGCTAGAATGAACTACACTCCCATTTTTAAAATTACTTACAATCTCCTTGCTGTCAATAGCAATGATTCCCACAAGTGTGTTCCATGAAACAAATCCTACAAGATGATCTGTGTTCAAAAATGTTTAGAAAATGCTGCATACTATGTGCCCTTCTAGTAAAATCACAAAGGCCATTTACATAATAAAGATCCTAAACAGACTTGAAGTAAAGAAATATATAACGATATCTAGCTCAGCATTCTCCACAGGCTTTTGACTCAGCTCTCTTTTTCCACTAACAACTATTAATAAGCAGTGGAACACACTTTGAAAATGCTAGCATTGTGATTTGGTCTTGCTAAGGAAATGAAGTAAATGGCTTGACCCTTTCTTATTTCATTTCCTCTCCACCTCACAGTTAACGTTTTGGGAATCTTGTATGACCTGCAGTTCTTCATGAGCAGCATGTTCTTTCCCACGTCTTTGGCACGTTGCTTCCTTTACCCGAAATGCCCTATTTACCTACTGCCCACTTCCACCCTCTGATTAATTCCTACTCATCTTTCAAAATACTTTGCAAGTTTTGTCTCCTCTATTAACTTTCATTGACCTTTGTGATCTACCTTTGGTTTCTCTCATAATGTCTTCCTACTCATCATAGCACTTCCCATCTTTTAACTAAAGCTAGCTTAATTTCCCCACTGGTGCAATCTCCTCGAGAACCGCATCATTAATACACAGCAAGTGCTCAAGAAATACCGGTTGAACTGAAATACATCAGCCTATCATGAAGACAATAGATGATAATACAGTAAAGTTTTTAAGAATGTATAAAATCACTCAATATTTCAAGAACATATTCTAAAACCTTTTCTTTTTTTGGAAAAACAGTTTATAGTATGCATCTTATTTCTTTAATTAATGTCATTCCATTTATTAATGTTAGTGGTTTGTAATGAAATTTTCCTTCTTACTTTCACTTGCATGTTTTAATCATTTCTATCAGATATTCTTTTTTTTTTTCTCTCTTTACCAAGAATGAGGAAGAAAAAAAAACTGCTGAAAATACTCACCATGGCGACTTTCTACTATAGAAGTTGGCAACACCACTTTGGATCTTGAAATATAAACACTGCCTAAAAATCAATGTAAGGACATTGAATCCTTGTCTTTGCTAGATCTTATTTAAACAACAGCTGTTCTTCATTTTATTTGCCTCAAACTTACCAAACCTGTTTGGGCCATGAAGCAGGTCTGAGTCAAGCCTCCGACGTTTAGCTGTACATAAAAGATGACAGCTTTTCTTCTGTATAAAATTACCTCATGCCACATTTTCCCCTAAACAACTCCCTTTGTATTCCAGATCTAGGTTTTCAAGGGTGACCACTGATCATTGACCACGTCTGACATCTTTATCAACTTATTTATGAATACAGGTTGTGCCTATAGGTGTAATTTATAATAAATGTTTAGCTGAATATTCACTGATCCATATTAAAGAGGATATCCCCTTCATTCGCTCATGTATTCGCTCACTTGATAAATATATGCTGAGCACCTATGCTGTTACAAAAGCCATAGTGGGATTATAATAGCAATGTTATAAATAACAGCTGCATGTATTGAGCACATACAATGTACAAGGTACCATGCTAAGTTGTGTATGTATATTACCTCATTTGATCTTTATAACAAGCTTGTGAGGTTGGTGCATTGCTATTCCTTTTAATATATTAGGATACTGAGACTTAAAGAGACATTGGTACAGCACCCGAGATTGCAGTGCTAGCAAACAGCAGAGCTACATTTGAATACAGACAGCCTGTCTCCTAAGAAGCCCCTGTGCTTAGTTACTGGGCAAAACAGCCCATCAGTGGTCACACAATACCATTCTACCATCAAACTATCACACTGCATCTTAAAAAGCACCGAGCATGAACCATTTCAGGGACTTTTAAAGTGACAAAGCCTTAGGAAATCAAATTAAAATGTTTATTTTTTAATCTAACAACTTGGGAGCATATGGTGTTGGCAAGTGTTCAATGAATATTAACTGATTATAGTTAATGTTAAACTGTAGTTAATGTGGTTGCACTGTGTGACCTTTGAGGTACCTTTCAACCGGAGATTCTGTGATTAAAGAGGTGGCTCAATCTAGTTGTTTCTAGATTCCATTTCCAGACTGTCTCTTAAAAATCACATTTAATTCAAACTATTCCCAAAGGAATGGACTGGACTAAGCAAGACATTTGTCCTTATTTATACCAAATTAAAGAGGTCACCTGTGGAGGAGTGGCCGGTGAGGCACCTCTTTTGTTTCAAAAATATTCTTTGAGAAAATGGAATTCAAGATAAAAAAACAAACAAACAAAAATAAAACAACAACAACAAAAAACTAATGTAATGGCAGCATGGAAGGACAGTCAGGAAGAAATACTAATTTATCCAAAATGACTTTTCTAGGTAAGTAAGCTATTCTGAAACAGTGATAAATGTTCTCTTTAGAGCTAATATACTAGAAGTTACTTTACAGGAATTTGATCAGTGCAATAAATTATAGTGGATCCTGAACGTACAAAGAATATAATTCCCCACTGTTTATCATGTAAATTTCCTGCCTTACCCCACCCCCTGGCTCACTTAGCCATATAGTCTCCCCACAGGCCACAACACAAGACTGCTTGAACAGTGTATTTCCTGGCTAATTTATTAAGATGGTTTCTTGGGTTATACAATATTCCCAACCCAAAGGCCACTCACTGGCAAGAGAAAATAATCCTCTTTTTAATTAACAAGGAAAAAAATATCAGACTGAATTCCGAGCTATTTGACCACTTTGACCTGGTCTTAGACCTTATTCACATTTCCATGAGCTCAGAGGTGAACTCCAAATCCCACTTTGGGTTTAAGTTTTATTTAAAGTACTGTTCAATGGAAAACAGTCATTTTTCTAGCTGTCCTGTAATTTGAATGTCAGTAAGGTGACAACCATGTGCCAAGGTGAGAGGCTGCTGTAACATAACATGACCCAAAGTCCATTTATGCACAGAAGTTCTGGGCTTTGTGGCAAGAACTGAAATGTTTTGCACCAATTCTTACGTCCTAAATGTATCTTTTCC